TGCAGGAGCAGGTTTGCCCTGAGCCCATTTTCAGGTTCTTCAGAGAACACAAGGTAGAGATTGCAAGTGCAATAACAAGACCATTTCCTTTCCTTATGGGCCTCCGAGACCGCTCCTTCATCTCTGAGCAGATGTATGAAGTAAGTAATAATTTCCAAATGATGGTAAACCAGGTCCATACTCAATTATGCCAAACTTCAAGATGTAATGAACAGGCTAAAGGGCCTCCTGTGAATGGGGACCTTCATCATCCTGTAGGTTAGGAGGTGACAGGAGAAGCAGGCATCACAGAAAACCTCCCTTCTTCTGTAGTAAATGTTGGGGGAGAGCCACAGTGAGGGAGGTGGGCAGCAGAGAGAATGGGAATGCTGCATGGGTGCAGATCATCCTAGATGCATGTATGCAATCTACTAATGGTAGCCATAATTAAAGTAAATAAGTGAGCTAGGCAGCGTTTCATTCCAAAGCCTACTTATTGAAACACTTGAAACAGAGATTTTTTTGAAACTCACAGGGAAGTTGTGTCATGTTATTTTACATTTGGAAGCAGATGCTTGCTACTGTCTCTCCAAATCATTGTTTGATCTTTGGACATTTCTAGAGTCCTAGAATGCAAGTTAATGTTAGCAGTGGATGCCTTTAGGGATACTGAGGACAAGCCTTCTTCTTGTCTTTGTGAATTTTCTGTGCCCTTTGATCAGGAGTCACAGTAGGGGGCTGGTTGATTGGTTTCCTGAAGCTCTGTCAGGCCAGGCCAATCCTAGTAGTGGTTATCATCCACATAACAGAACAGCCTTGTTAAGGCCACTCCTGAAATAACCTGGCCAGGCTCTAAAGCCACACACAACATTCAACTTTGAACCCACATTTATTATTTAAAATTACTCTCTCCTCTTAAGTGTACAACAATGTCAGTGAGTCAGGTTCAAAAAATTAAGACTGTATTTTTATGGTGGAGGACATTTAAGAAGTCATCCAAATATATGCAAAATTCTAGCATTTCACAAGAGAACAGATGTTCTATCTACCACCTAAGAGTCTTTTGGAACCCATAAACTACATAATTCTCCATTTAATATTTTTAAGCATTTTCAAGAAGCTTTTAGAAACCTGGTCCCAGTGACAAGAGTGATGTATTGTGTACTCAGTGAACTGGAGAAGACGTTTGGCTGGTCACATCTGGAAGCATTGTTCAGCAGGATTAACCTGATGGCCTATCCTGATTTAAACGAGATTTACAGAAGCTTCCAAAATGGTAACTATAGCTCTCAACAGCTTTGGGGGATTCAAGCCCATTTCATTCATTAATTCATTCATTCACTCTTCATTCATATTTGACAAATGTTTGACTGAGTGACTATTACATGCCAAGCCCAGGGGGAATATAATGATGAAAAAACACACATGTTCCATGTCCTTATGGAGTTTACATATAGTGGGAGTGATAGATGTTAACCAAGTAATCTTGCAAATGGTTGCTCAGCCAGGACTTGATTTTGATGCTGTAAAACATAGGGTTGAAGTCTCCATTTTTTTCAAGGAAGACATGAGTGAAGCCTTTTCATAGGAAAGGAGGAAACCTTCTCTGATATTTGCAGATACATTCAAAGATAAAACAATTTTCTTTGTATTAGAAAATTTATCATTCAGTGCAGTCCTATGTCAACTTGTTTCTCCAAACGAAGACTGGAGAAGTCACGAAGAGAGCCCAGTACATACTGATACACTGAGGAGGAGCTGCATATGAAAGCTATGAAGACAGAAAAGGGGGTTGGTGGGGGCCTTTCAGAACCATGTGGTTGAATTGCAGAGTGTGGGAGGGAGGGTTTGGGAGCCGATTCTGGAGAAAGAACTTGGAGTGGATTCTGGAGGGCTTGACACCCTGTGCTAGGGAATCTGGAGTTTAGTTTTTGGAAAATAAAGAAGCAATAACGGGCATTTAAACAGGGGAAAAGTAAAATAAGTCAGTATGAAGAATGGGATGTGTTGCTTTGTGAATACTATACCTTGATTCAAAAAAGAGGTATCTCGTTTTCATATTATGGTACATCCAAGTCAGAGAAAGGTCTAGAGGAAATCAAATACTGTGCATGCCTCCTTTGGTATACATGAGGGATTGGTTTCAGGAATACCCACCACCCTCAGTCCTGGATGCTCAAGTTCCTTGTATGAAATGGCATAGTATTTGTGTATAACCTATGCACATGCACCAGTATACTTTAAATCATCTCTAGATTACAATACCTAATACAATCTAAATGCTATGTAAATAGTTGTTAAATTTGTATTGTTATTTTATTTATTTATTTTTTGAGACGGAGTTCACTCTATCACCCAGGCTGGAGTGCAGTGGCGTGATCTTGGCTACTGCAACCCCCATCTCCTGGGTTCAAGTGATTTTCCTGCCTCAGCCTTCTGAGTAGCTGGGATTACAGTCACCCACCACCACACTTGGCTAATTTTTTTGTATTTTTGGTAGAGACAGGGTTTCACCATGTTGGCAAGGCTGGTCTTGAACCCCTGACCTCAGGTGATCTGCCTGCCTTGGCTTCCCCAAATGCTGGGATTATAGACATGAGCCACCATGCCTGGCCTTTTATTATTTTTAATTTTTTCCCATATTTTCAATCTGAGGTTGGGTGAATCCACGGATCCCAAGCCAACTGTACCTAGGCACAAATTTTGAGTCAATATTTGTATTTTAACCAGGGTGTTCCAGGCTGTGGCAATGAAGGGAATGATGTTACTTCTACTGCCCACATCTCAGGGGCTCTGATTCTCTCTGTGGACTGTGGGGATCCCCCTGGCCCCAGTATCCACATCTCATATGTTAGTATCTGGCACCTTCCAGGTGACAGGCACCTGAGGCTCACCACTGCCCACTGCCTCAGACTATGAGTAGAAATTGGAGAAATGGGCAAAAGTAGAATGAATTGTAAAAAGATTGAAAAAAAAAAAGAAAAATAAACCTCTGCTTATACTACACAACATCCACAAAATATAATTCAAGTTGGATTACAAATCTACAAGTTAATACTACAAGTATAAAGCTTCTAGAAGAAAACATGAGACTGTGTCTTTGCAAACTGAGAGAAGGCAGTAATTTGCTATAAAGGACACAAAAAACCATGGATCATAAAAGAAAAACTTGGTAAGTTATGTGTCACCAAATTAAAAACTACGCATCCAAAGTCACCATTAAGAAAAGGAAAAAACAAGCCATAGACTGGGAGAAAATATTTGCAATACACATATCTAACAAAGGATTGTACTCACAAAATATGAATAACTCCAATAAATGAATGATAAAAGGACACATCACCAATTCAAAAAATGGACAAATGATTTGAACAGACATTTCAGAACAGGAGATACAAAATGTCCAGCAAGAACATAAAGTGTATGACATTATTAATCATGAGGGAAATGCAAATTAAAGTCACAGTGAGATATCATCCACTCACTAGAATTGCTAAAATTAAAAAGACTGACAATACCAAGCGCAGATGAGAATGTGGAACAATTGGACCGCCCATCCCTTGCTGGTAGGAATGTAAAATGATAGCGACCACTTTGGGAAAGTGCCTGGCAATTTCCTGTAAAGTTAAATCTAACCTATGATCTTGGCCATTTCACTCCTAGGTATTTACATGACAGAAATAAAAATATGTTCATCCGAAGATTTGTATAAGAATGTTTATGGCAGCTTTATTCATAATAACTAAAATCTGGAACCAACCCAAATGCTCATCAACAGGAGAGTAGATGAACTATGACTAATTTATAGAGTATAATACTATTCAGCAATAAAAAGAATGAACTGTTATCACACAGAGCAACATGGATAAATCTCAAAAACATTATATTGAGCAAAATAAGCAAGTTTTAAGAGTACATACTGCATGATCCTATTTATATGAGTACAAGTACAGACAATACAGACAAGTACAGTGCCAGAAAGGAAGGAGCCATTGCTGGTGATAGGAACCAGAACAGTGGTGTCTTAAGCACAAAGCAATTTTCTGGGATGGTGGAAATGTTCTGAATCTTGACTGGGATGTTGGTTTCACAATGATTTACACTTAAGATATGTGCATCTCAATTAAAAAAAGGGGAACAAGGCTCTGTTGGACCTCGGGGGCAGGAGATCCTGGGGCTTGGACATCAAATTCAGCTTAAGCACACTGAGGTCTCTCCTCTGGTTGCTGTCTGAGTTTGGTAATTTTCACATTGTTTTCCTCAGTATGCTATGAACACCCACCTCTCCAAATGAATAATGTAAACGAGTTAGAAGACACACCCAGATTACTACCATATGGTAAACAAGGTAACTATCATTTAACTGATCAATGCCCTTATTAAAGTTTTGCTTCCTTGTCTTCATGGAGGCAAAGCTTGTATTTTCTCTCCTATCTTAGCCCCCTGTTATCTCCCAGTACTCTTCCCCTCACACAGGCATGTACCTGCCCTTATCTGCCAGCAGGTGTGAGAGAACCAATGAAAAAGGAGATCTGATCTCTTGAATAGATGGAGTCTCCATTGGTGGAGAATATAAAAAGAGAAAATGGGAAAGGTAGACAGAGAATAATACTTGACAAATTACATGAATGGATTCCATCTTCTAAGGGAACATAAAAATCCTACCCTCCCTACCCTCCCAGGTTGAGATAAGGGGATTATTTTTAATTAATTTCATAGAACTATTAAGAGAAACTCAGAAATAACCTAAGCCATATCAGATTCAGGTGAGAGATGTTCCTTACAGAGTTGGCCAGTTAGGGGTCCCTAGTACTGTGGTCACAGTCCAAGAGGGGAGTTGTTGATATGGAGAGACAGGGGAGCCTGAAAGATAGAATTGCGCAGGGAGACAAAACTGAAATAATGTTGGCAGATAGAAGATCAAAGTGAAATGAGAGAAACAGAAATGGAAAGA